TATAATTATAAATATAACATGTTTTGGACATACTTTGTCAGGTCAGTTGATAGATCCCAATATAAAGGTCAGTGATGCTTTTTTCTTGGTTATTATTTGAATACTGCTCTAAATGCATATATGCTTTACGAAGTATGAAAAAAACCAGTCCATTGTCTTACAATGTTTGCAGTAGAGATTTCAACAGCTTTTGAAAGAAGATAGGAAGGTGGAGGAGGCATGGATAAATGCTGGGGGTGGGCGAGTTGGAAATGTACATTCAATTCTATTGTACATATTTGGGTTTCGTTCCTAAATAACTGATCCACTTAGGTGAAAATAAGTCCTACAGAACTCACTTGGGCTTATACATAAGTAGACATATATAGGATAGTTGTGTTATGTTTTAGTTGTAGTTTTATACCCCACCTTTTCAGACGAACAAGCTCCAGGTAGCATCTAGGGTTCCTCTCTGTACTTTAGTCTAACTATCACCTTGTGAGGTAGGTTAGACTCAGAGGCTATGACTAGGCTAAGGTCACTCGTTAAATTTCATGGCCAAGCAACAATTTGAACCTGGGTCTTCAGAGTCGTAGTCCAAAACTCATTGACCCACCCACAGTATTAAGCAATCATGCATGAGTCTTCACAGAGAAAGCAGATTTTGAGGAAGAGAATGAGGTGGCAGCACATACTATTAGAAATAGTAAAATATGTTTCAAATAGTACTTGTAATGCAAGGAAAGCTATTAGGCAGTCTGTAAGGCAGATTCTAAGGGATGTAGTGGCGCTGTGGGTTAAACCGCAGAAGCCTCTGTGCTGCAAGGTCAGAAGACCAGCAGTCGTAAGATCGAATCCACGCGACAGAGTGAGAGTCTGTCGCTTGTCCCAGCTCCTGCCAACCTAGCAGTTCAAAAGCATGTAAAAATGCGAGTAGATAAATATGCACCACCATGGTGGGAAGGTAACGGCATTCCGTGTCTAGTCGCACTGGCCATGTGACCACGGAAACTGTCTTCGGACAAACACTTGGAGACGGGGATGAGCACCACGCTCTAGAGTCGGACATGACTGTACTAAATGTCAAGGGGAACCTTTACCTAAGGTGGATTCTACACCAAGGCTTTTTTATCCTTCTCTTAGTTTTGTTCTTAATGTGCCATCAAATTGCTACTGACTTATCATGACCTCATGAATCAGTGATCTTTAATAAATCCTGTTATCAGGACTTATAAAAGATCACTGTTCAACTGTTGCAAACCCAAGGTTGTGGTTTTTTTTTAAGTCAGTTCATCTCTTTCTTAATCTTCCTCTTTTCCTGTTGATTCCAACTAGCATTATTGTCTTTTCCAATGAATCTTGTCTTTTCACGATGCAACCAAAGCAGTATGGTAGCCTCATCTTAATGGTTTGGTTTTTTTTCTTTTTGTTTTTTGCTTGTTTCTAGGGGGAGTTCTAACTTGATTTTATTTAGCATTTATTTGTCTTGTTCTCTTTGTATGCCCACCAAATTCCACTCAAGGTATGATAGAAATCCTGCAGTTCTACTCATAAGGGAGAGATGGTTTTTCACACTGAAAGAAAAAGGCTATTCTGCATTTGAAGACTGCACCTTATTAGCTTAAATCATATCAGTTTGTACATATTTGTATGCATTGCTATGTTAGAGCCGGAGATGTGCTGCCTAACTCAGATGTCCTTGCTGCTAGATAGTAATAGCAGCTATGTTCTGGATCCTGAACAATTGTGGGTATCATTTTGTGCAGCAAAATGCCTAGTCCATGGTACATCCTCAACTGACAATCCCTACCATAATTGATAGTCAGTGTAGTTTTTTTTTAAAACACTGTGTTGAAGCTGTGTTAAAACAAAGACAGACGATTTGAACTTCCCCCCGACAGGTACAAAAATACACTCCAGCAAGTGAAGAACTTCTTTCTCCTGAACTACAGGAGTGGCCAACATATTCACCAAAACGGTCCAGTAGGCATAGTGATGGCTTTGTGCCTACCTCTTTATACCCTGGGAGCATGTCAGCAGGTTAGTAGCAACATGTGGCTAATTGCTTCTTTGTACAGAAATCTCTCAGAAGTTACTTACGTAGGTAGCTGATCATGGATCATCTGTTGACTCAACACACTAGATTTTCTCTAGATCAAAATGACCCTTTAGGACACAAGTCCAATTCTGAGATTACAGTTGTCGCACCTTAGAAATCACCAGATTTTATTATGCATAAGCCTTTGTGACCTAAAGCCCACTTGATGACGTACGTGGCTGCGCTCTGTGAAGCTTGTGTCAAATAAAACTTACTGATCTTTGAGGTGCCTCAAGGCTATTCGTTGATTTTGCTACAGCATGGCTACTTCCCTATTGATTTGCTAGAACCAGTCTTTGAGACCAACATTTGTACTACCTTTCCTTGTTATTTCAAATAAAATCTCATTATAGAGGAAAAACAGATAGCCCAATACAAAGCTAATACATGTTTAAATAATGTTTTAAAGTACTATTATATGCATTCATAATCTAATCAGGGTTTATAAAGAGCAAAGCAAGTCCAGACTCCCGTTAAAAAATTACACTGGTGTACTTCCCACAATGAAAATGTCATTGTTGCCAGTTAATAAATTAGTGCTCATTTCTCTTCCATGTGCCAAGTTGTGCTACTACTGTGTAACAAGAATAGCAGCAGCTTCTTAACTGGCTACAATTTGCTGAAATTTACATCATTGGAGTTACACAGGCATGCATAAGTAACAGGATCCTGGCCACAAGTAATTAAGGGACAGTATCTTGTTGCATAGTTCCACTTGCACAGTAGGAGTGTTGTGCTTTTCATTAGAGAGCTCATTTTTTCAGTTTTGGGGTGTGCATGTTTCCTATATACCTCAAAATGAAAAAGGGACTCTTCAATTAGGAATAATCTACTGTGGCTGGTATCATATCTTCCATTGCACAGCACATTGAATTTGTGTTCAAAAAATCTGGGAAAGAGTTCTTCGGGAGACAGCTGAAGTGTAAGGCAACTGTACTGCCACTTTCTGCCTTTTAGACACCTTTAAATGTGTCCTGTTATTAACTTGTGTCTCTATGTGTGTTTCTATTTGATAACTAACTGGTACAACGGAATGCAATGATGTTATCAAAATCAGCATTGGGCCTAAGCAAGATAGTAAACAGACTTCTAAAGAGGATTTATAGCTGCATGAAACACACTATAGTAAACATTTTCAGATACAAACACGGGAAGTGATAAGTGAACAATTTTCATTTTATGATTTGGGATTCCTTCCTGGTTATCTAACTAGATAACACTCCTTCCTTGCTTAGCTCTTGGCTTTTCTTTATGGCTGAAGAGGAGTGTGTCTCCCTGGTTTATAACCTTCTCCCTATACCTGTGCAATATACACATCAGATGTTGTTTCCCTATTATTATTTTTATGTATGTACGACCATAAATGCCTCTGGCATGAGGAGTGTCAGAAAAGTTGCAGGAAACCTGGTGTTCAGTATTTGCTATCTGTGCAAGAGGCCTAAATGTATAACATTAGGCTTTGAGACAGCATTAGAATTGGATGCAGAATTCACTTCAAGGAAGTTAAATCTCCCTAGTGTTATCACAAAAGACCAGTGTGGTTGTGTTGGCTCTTTTCCATATTTGGGCTGTAAGGGATAAACAGTGAATGTATAATTAAAGGAAATGTGAGTTGGTTTCATGTCCAGTGTGTGTTTGTGTAACTAGGCTGTGAAGAGTAAATAATTATAAGGTATATATTATTGTTGAGCTAACCATCAAAAGCAGAAGTTACTGCATGCATTATTCATCTTACTCTGCAGGTACTGTACCAAGGAACATTGCACCATGTCCTGCAGTAACAGCTGTTATGCGAAATCCTATTTACACTGCCTGGAGTCATAGGGTTAGCACCACTAACTGTCCATCTGTCGCCAGTCAATATTGCCATCAGCATCTTCATCCCAGGTGAGTAAATAAAAACAGCCTTGATACATCATGCTAAAAGCCCACCTGTTCTTGTGTGGACAGCTTAATAGCTTTGGAGACTCCCACTATTTTTGGTATTCATAGATACACTGGCCAAATATCTCCATTCTCCAGTTGTGTTCTGTGTCTTAGCTGAAGTTCATTGGTGGGAGATTATGTCTATATGCACCTCTTGGCATCCAATACTGCTGGCCAGTGCATTTTAACTAGTGACAATTAGTTTTCCCTTGTGTCACAGTGCTCAACACCAAGGTCGCTTGAGTTTGGACCTGAGTCACAAACACTCCAATGAGTGCTCTGAAAACACACGCACAAGATCATCACATGGTTCCAATTCACTGCCCTCTAGTGCAAGACTTGGTAAGTAACATTGCAGATTGGACCGTTGAGCATCTTTTTACAACCTTGCTTTACACAACTGGGAAACACTTCAGCATGCATCCTGTTTACAGCTCCCAGTCAGTTTAGAGTCTAGTCCAGTTAGTACTGCCAGAGTCTAGACTCTGATGCTTACCCTCTTTTGCCATTGGGAGTTGGACTTTGAAAGACAAGGTCTGGTCCATTTCTAAATGATCCAAGAATTTGTCCCAAAACCATTACACCAATTCCTAGAATACCAAGTGTTTGGTCTCACACAAGTCTAGCATGAGGTGCAAGAATGTATCTTTGGGTTTGTGCTCCCCTGTTTGTATACAAAACATGCAAGGTGACCAGATTACATGTTCTGCCTGTGCAATTAATCTGCCTCTTGTTTTCAAGAGCACAGTGCTTATACGTAATGTCAGAGCATGTTGTGTAATGTGTGTTTCTGTGTATTTAAGAGTTGTGTCTGCAATTTACTACACCAAATATAATTTACAGGATAGTTTAGAGTGCAAGGCAGCCTTGAATAATCTGTTGGCACTGACAAGATTGCATGTACATTTCTACTTGGAAAGGGCAGAAAAGGGCAAAAGAGTCATATTAAAGTCTTATTACACACCACTGCTTGCCAGGATGGGATTACATGAACATCTAATCAAAGGGGAAATCCAGCAGTTGTCATATCAACCTTCTCTATTTTGCCTCAGTTAAATTCTTAATTTGAAGAACAATGTTTGCCTATCCATCTCCTTAGTCCCTTGCGGAATGAGTGGGATGTGTGCAGCTTCAGATGAAGTGCCCTATAATGTGGCAAATGTTGTGTCTTTAAAAGCATAAAGGGTGTAAGAATAAGGGAACAGAACCTAACTACCAACGTATCTCCCTGCAACCCTGTTCACCTAAATCCCCCCCCTGGTGGGGTGCATTTTTAGTACCAGAGTTCAGCTGAAAAGAAGGGCATACAAGATTGGAGCAATTCCATGTTTAAGTGCACATAGCTGCTACCACCATGTCTGATTTTGGTTAGTAAATTGTAGACACATGTGGGAATTCTTGTTAACAGAGTTTATAAGCAATAATAAAATTAGTTCCAAAGGATTGTGTTGTATCATTGTTACTTCAGCCACTCAGATAATTTTGTAAGATTCAGAATCTGAGTAAGTTTATTCCTTTTTACGTATTAAGTCTGATTTTCCCTCCTTTTGTATTTTAAAGTAGGTTCTTCCAGCAACTTGCAGTATAGAACAGAACGAATAAAAATACCCTTGACACCAAGATACCCAAGGTCCATCATTGGCTCTGATAGGGGTAAAAAAAACCCTAAATATTTTATATTGCTCTATTGGAAATTACGTCATAATTGTGGATTTTTGTACTTTAGTAGAATTAAGTTATGTTTAGAGTAAGGAAATAGCCCTTATCCCATGTATATAGTTTGATACTTGCCATAGGCAAGGACTGTTAATGCTTAAAACGTTTACATTCCAAAGATTACCATTACACAATTGGGTTTGATTAAGAGTTACAAATTCTCTTTTCTTGTTGTCAAAGCAGGGGCACACACCTTGTGCTGAACTTGTCCATGGAGCATGCTGTCATTTGTATGTTGACTTCCATTTCAGATGTGGCAAGTGTTCTCGTGTCAGTCTTGTTTCCAGTACAGTGCTTGGTCTTTCAGCGGAACCAGTATAGCATGTGCAAGAGACAGCTGTACAACATGAGCAGCAGATTTAAATGTCTGCATGTTGCAACATTCTCCCTCTTTCCCCCCCTCTCTCTCACTCACTCACTCTCTCTCACACACACACAAACACATCCCCCAGTGTTTCTATTCACTAGGGATATATGTATGAAATTCCCTGAAAAAATGCAAAACACATGAGAAAGCCTTTTTAAAGCTTGTCTTATTATCTCTCTGATGCCAAAACTTCTTTTTAAGCAACATTTTGGCGGCAACTCTGCTCTTCATCCTCTCCTATATTGGGGTAAAATATCAGTCATATATACTGACAGCATGCTCATTCTTTGAAGTGCCGGTCCTTACCTATGAAAAATGGCACATTCATGCACAAGAGGTATCATCTGGTTTATACAACTCAGTGTTTACGGAAATAAAACTGGAAGGTGGGGAAGAGAACAATGTGCAGGGAGAAAACAGACCACTTCTGTGAGAGAGGCAGAATGGAGTAGCCTGGAAAGGTAATGGCTGGACCCTGAAGAAGAATACTCCACACTTTTGCTGCATCCCTCTTAATAGTGATCTGAGTCCTCTGAATGCTAATTATTTTGTAGCCAAAATGTTGCAGAGTAAGAAAGAGGAGATGCCACCAGCCTGGGGAAATTCAAGGTACAAAATGCCATTAGGGAGGAGAATCTGCAGTAGGGAAACAAGCATTTAACCCTTGCTGTGCAGGAGCAGTTGTTTTTTCTAAACTAAAACCTCAGCATTCGGGTTTTAATTGCAGTATTGGCACTTTGAAATAAATAAGTTTTTGTGTTGCAGTTTGATCACTCAGGCTCAAAAAGGTTCACCATCACTGACCTAGAGTATTATAGAGGAAGACAAGGCTATGCAGAAATGCTCCATACTGTAGTAGTTTGTTGCAGGTTCTGATTAAACCCTTGTCATTAGCAGCTGCAGCTGGTGTTGCTCTTTAGAGATGTGCATTTCTGATTTTTTTTGGACTAAGAATCCCATCATTCTTTCTGAGAATCCCACCTGCCAGACCCAGACCTTACAGACAGGTAAATCACCTGGACAGAAGACCTAGCTGGCAGGCTACGTGCCTTGCATACATTGAACTTCCTGTTTGAAAAGGAAGCTGCTGAGTCCCAAAAACCCAAAATGCACATCTCTATTGCTCTTTTTTTTTAAAAATGTAAATACATTGTTCATGTTGAAAATCCACTGAAAACAAACAAATATATTGTAATGTGAGAGTTTCTGTGTTGGCTCTGTGTAGGTTCATTGTCACATTCCGAATGTAGCAGTCCAAGCCTAATAACTCCTCCACAGTCACCACTTAACCTTGAGACGTCATCCTTTGCCAGCAGCCAGTCACAAAACTCCCTTTCCACAATGCCCCGGATCTCAGTGAGTCCAGTATCAATAGGACAACGTCGGAAAGATAAGTAAGTGGTGATCCTTGTGTTGATACCTTGTGTAAGGGTTTGTTTTTGAAAACTTGATTGAGTGGTAATTTGTTGCAACAGCACTCAGGGGAGGAAAAGGGCTAATTAATAAAACCAAAAACTTTTAGGACAACAACAGTCTTTGACCTTCAGACTGGGACCCACCTTTAACCACAGCCTACTACTTGAAAAACTATCTTCTCATTTCCCACTATACATCTATCCATACTTCTGCTCCTCTTTCTCTATCTCCCACCTGTCTTCCTGTTTGTTTTTGCCACTGCTATAATTTCCCTTTTAGGAAATATAGATGGCCTTTATTAAATTCTTCTATCCAAGTGGCTTCTGACACCATTGGGTCTTAACTCATTAGTTGAAGACAGGTGTTCCAGTAGAGTCTAGAGACAGGAAATTTACAGGACACTTTTAAGTACCAGGTCACTTTAATGCCCTCTTCCGCATAAGAAATGCAATGGGCTCTGTGGCAATCTTGGGTACTTGTGACACCTGCCAACAGCTCATGTATGTTTGCTTCATGCTCCTTGTGAAATGCCTCTTACTGTATCATAGCTACCTGCCCCTCCAGCACAATGAATAGGGCAAGTGAGAGCATATGGGATTAATAGTGAGGAAGAAAGGTGAACAGTTCCTTGGGAGAGTTGCAGGCCAGGAATGACAAGGATACCTTCATATGTGATCCTAACTCTTGCAAGCTGGTCACCAAAGTAGAGACTTTACTGGTCCCTTTAAAAAGAGAGAGAGTTGTGACAAAGTTGCAAAATTATGTAAAAATATCTTATGGACTTGTGAATCTCCCTAGCAAGAAAAGAACAGTCCATCTTGACAAGAATTTGTTCCCTGTGTGATTTCCACAACTAGCTCTTTCCTGCTTCAGGGATAGGAGAAAGAGCTATGCATTTTGAGGATAACACATGAGGTTAAAGCATTTTGGGCTATCTCTGGCCTCTCAACCAAGTCAAATTGTTAAAATTGTTTGCATGAACTGAACCTAGTAAAGATTTGTGCTGCAGTTCATGGTAATTTGCTTGAACACTTGGTGGTGGTGATGATGGTGATGAAATAAAATATTTCAAAAAGTCTCCCTTTCCTCCATTTTGTATGTCTACAAAAAAAAGTACTGCCAGAATCCTATTACTAATTTATACTTGCATAATGAAAGCTGTCTCTGTCTTGGTAGCAAATTGTCATTCTTTATCAAAGAACGAGATGCATTCCTGGACATGCCTCCAAGAACTCAACCAGGATCTCATTATTGAGCAACAGGTTGCCTCCAAGACTAAGCCCATTTCCCTTATGCAAGCATAAACTGACAGTAGGATTCTGGCCTGTATGTGCAAAGAAGAACTGTCTAGAAACCAGAACTTGCATTTGTTCACTTTCTAAATTAAAAGTACTCCAGTACCAGAAGTAGCTGTGTATGGACAGATACTTCCAAATGATTTTTATTCCCTGCTAGAGCTAAGGTTAGTGTTTTTTCCAGACTTCCTCTATCTCTGCCCTTGTCCTCAAAATCCCAGTTTCCCATGTCAAAAGTCCGCACCCTAAATCCTGTTTTCCCTCTAAGTCTCATACAGATTTGCTTTTCTGTTTCTTTTCCTCAGTTTTCCCAAAATGCTTTTTTTAAATTGCTGCATCATTCTCCTGCCTTGTTCTACTGTGTTGTATTTCCTGTTCCCTTTTCCAGCTCAGTCATCACCGTGCTTCTTTCCCACTTGCCCAGTTTGATTTCTAGGATCCTCATTTTTTCCTCAGCAGCCAGTTCATAAAATTAGAGGTGCCACCACTCCATCCAAGTGGAAATTAACTCAGAAAGATCTATGCCTTCCCTTCTAAGCTCAAGATAAATGGATGCTTCTGTTGTGTTAATAAATAGTGTTGGAAATATTCTACAAGTACACAGAGGCAGCCACGTCTGTATTTACATTACCAAAAAATAAATAAATAAATCCTCAGACAATATGATGAGCCAAGCTGCTCAGCCAGTGTGTTCTCCTTATGTCTGTATTTACAATACCAAAAAAAAAATAAAAAATAAAAAAAAATCCTCAGACAATATGATGAACCAAGCTGCTCAGCCAGTGTGTTCTCCTTATGTATACGATTGTTTGTAGGACAGGTGTATTCCTTGGCTTTTTATTGGACAGTTACCAGTACATTGTTTGGATACTTATCCTGGGAATTACTTTCCATGTCTGCATGAAAAAATGAACACAAAGTTGTGGACAGATTGTATTCACAGCTTTACTGCCGCAGACCTTCTGTCTGGCCTTGGCAACTCATTTTTTCCTTTGGCCTTGATGAAGGTGAGTGGAGCTTTTGGGTGAGAGGTGTAAGGTGTGAATAATAATTGAAGTCAGGTACAGCCTTGAGCCCCACCATTTCTTCAGCACACTAGTTAATGATTAATGGTTTCATGTGAGAGGTATCAACATGGATGTTCTGATTTCCTTCATGGGTGCAGCTTGGTCCAGGTGGCAGGGCCACCATTCACAGGCAACCATTGGAGATGCAGCTCAAGACAAAGAGTATCTCTATGTAATCTTGGTAGCAACTCTGCTCCCTGCCCCCGCAGTGTGTGCCTACAGTGTGTGAACAACCTCTTGGTGAGGCCAATGGGACATGCAGTCCAGTGGTATCACTATAGATAAGCCATCAGTTTCAGCTGCTGTTCTCCAAGATGTCAAACAAAGTTCTTCCTCAGCTCTGCTTATCTGTAACTGTCTAGAAATGAACTGTGGCTGTTGCAGTAATGTGCTGCAGTACCTTCTGTACTACATTTCCTCATGTTTGTTTTTCAATTCAGTGTTACTTTCAGGCTTCAGTGTCCTGGAATTAGCATAAGGAATGCATGATTCTCATGAAGTTGCATCTTGAGTGAGAATAGAATAAAAGACCAGGTAGTTTACAGGCCTCTCCCTTTGTTCCATTGCTGAGCGAGAACCTCTTGTAGAAACAGCATAGCTAAAAACTGGGATGCTGGAGGAAAGCTGTGCCTTCCTTTGCTGTCAACAGTGGAACTGAGTGTGCATTGCACCAACTCTTGAGTTGTTATTAGTCAAACATTGCACACCAGCTCGGACTGAGCTGGGTTCAGTTGAAAGCGCATATCAAGGCTGGACTGACATTTTTTGAGGGATACCGTTTCTATTCTCAATGTAGCTGCATAGACTCTGTTACTATTGTCTCTCTAAGTGTTTTTTCTTTTCTTTTTCTTTTTCTTTTCTGCATCCTTCTGCATCTTTCAGATATTTGTTCCGTAATAGATCTTTTCTGAGACTCCCTGTGGCTCCTAGGCCAAGGTTCTGTTCACTAAGGAGTTTGAGGTTGGCTTGATATAAAGGTTGTCCTTCTCAAGCAGTCTTTGCGCACCTTCCTTGTGCTATTTACATGTTTGGATAATCCCCTCCCCCCAGGAAAATTTGCATGGTAATTGCAATGCTACCATGCAAGCCACCATCTTTAATGGCTTGAGTTGTTGTTTTTACAGCTGCTTAATTTCCATTGACTAATGCTGTGTTCCCCTGCATACAGATATTAAATATTGGTATTGTGCTTTCTTTTCTTCATCTCTTGATTCTCAGTCATACCGTTTTTTGATATTTATGGCTCTAGCTATTAAGGCTCCTGAAGTTTCATTAGCTGATACAATGTTTCCTTTGGGAATGTTTTTTGAATTGCATATTATATATATGTGTGTGTGTATGTCTAATATATAATATGGTTTAGATGTCTTATTTCAAAACCTTTTTAGCATTATTTAATTTATAATTCATCTTTGCATCTAGTTTTCCATTCCATTTTTCTCTTCTCTCTACAATCTTTTAAAATATGTTTCATCTTATGTCTTCTTGATATAGCAGTCTTTGTTGCATGATGATGTGAAAGGAATGTTGTTGCTTACAGCGTTTTAGTTACTGATTTAAAGAGGTCATTATTCCGTTTTTAGAGACGTGAGGGTGGGCGTAAGTAATGCATGTCCTTCACATAATTTAGGTGTGTGTATGAAAAAGAGGGGGAACAAGCTTATGCTATAAATGTGTGGCCTTGTCCTTTTTTCTTCCCAAAGGCCATATATGGAAGAACCACGTCACGTCAAAGTGCAGAAAGGCTCTGAGCCACTTGGAATCTCTATTGTGTGCGGAGAAAATGGTGGAATCTTTGTATCAAAAGTGACTGGTGGCAGCATCGCCCATCAGGCTGGCCTGGAATATGGTGATCAGTTACTGGAGGTAAAATCTCATAGGTTGATGTTTTCTAGAATTAGGTAATTATCATTGCTGCTGTTTCAAGTAGGCAAAGTAGCCAGTCGGTTTACATTCTGAACCCTACGAATTGGCAACATTATTGGAGCATTTACCTTGATCCCATAAACATAACCACAATACAGTTACAGTAGTATGTTACTGCTTCTAAAATAATTCTGAAATTGCCACCTGCAAATATGGGAAATGAGACAACTCTAGGGAGAATAAAGTCTTGGCTGTGTTGCCTGCTGTTCTGAAGCACACCTGCTGAGTGCATTCTCAAAAGGGAGTTGCAGGTAGGAAGGGATCCTCAATAAGTGTGCCTGTTTGTTCTGCATATGTAAAACTAAGCATGTGTCACATCCAAACATGCTGATGTGGTGAAAGCTAGAGAATCAAATTTTGTCTCATTTTTGTTTTGGCTGCCCTTGAATGTTCTTGCCTCACCCCCTCTCAACATCAACCACCTACTGCAGCCATGATTTCACAACTACAAGGCCCTACAAACTGCCTGTAGGCTTAATTCAACAAGAGGAAACAAGGCCCCACAGAGTGGTCAGATTGTCATCAGTAGCATTCCTTTGTTATGGGGAAGATTAAATCTTACCCTTCACTGTCCTGCTCTTCACACAAATACCATCTAAAGATGAATGACATGCTTCCCTCAGACCTGGATCAGGCTTTCTCAGACCTTGGAAAAGTTACTTTTTACGTGGAATGCGGTGGGAAGGCAATTCTATAACTGCTTGTCCTCGGACACATTCCCAGAAAGAAGCATGATTACTCACAACCTGAAAAGTAGCTTTTTAGAAGTTTACCATTTGCTCACAATTTTTTTACAGTGCTGAAAAAAAGCTATATTTTTAAATCGACAACTACAAGGCCCTACAATCTGCCTGTAGGCTTAATTCACCAAGAGGAAACAAAGAGCAGTCAGATTGTCATCAGTAGCATTCCTTTGTTATGGGGAAGATTAAATCTTACCCTTCACTGTCCTGCTCTTCACACAAATACCATCTAAAGATGAATGACATGCTTCCCTCAGACCTGGATCAGGCTTTCTCAGACCTTGGAAAAGTTACTTTTTTAAAAAACTACAACTCCCAGAAAAGCAAATTTACCAAGCTCTGAGCTTTTCAATATGGAAAACGGTGTTCATGCACCTGTTGGGGTCAAAGTTCCTTTCTGCATAATATAGCCTGAATCCAACTGTAATCTCAACTAGAGCACACCGATTAAGTCAGTGGGAGTTATATAAATGTTGACTGGCTATTAGGCCATTGATTCATGGGTCTTCTGTTGAGACTGCTGATTAGATCTGGAATCTTGTGTTTACTGGTAAGCCTTAAAACTTCTTAACCTAAGAACACATCACAGAAAGTCTGCAGAACCTGAAATACCGCTTTAAAAAATAAATAAATGTGAATGTGGAGAAGTAAAAGCAACAAGCAAAGTTTAACTTAAGAAGGTAAGGCCAAGCGCCGCTTTTTTTTAAAATTGTGAATGTGGAGAAGTAAAACCAACAAGGAAAGTTTAACTTAAGAAGGTAAGGCCAAGCCTTCCTGTCCCGTGTAAGTCAGGGTGTTGGTAATAATAGCTATTGCATAATACCACCAGCTTTTGGGAGGCAGAATGCATGATTCTTGCTTGCTGCTGCCAAGAGAAACCTGTTCCTTTGGGCATTGTCAGAGATGCAGTAGCCTCTGCTGCCTTTAGCACACTGGTGACTCTGGAAGACACCTCTCAGCCACTGACGAAAGGCACCCTTTCAGTTTTTACTACAGCATGGCTTGTGTGTCACTTTCCTACCCACAGGGAATGCTGTTCTTTGACATCCCTTGATTGCACTTCTCCAATGGCCAAGAATTGATTTAAGATTAAATATCATTCTGGTCAGAGGAGGGTGGAGACCAAGCAGCCTTGCCCAATTCAGTGACTCTCTTTTCTCCATTAGAAATCGGAAGGTTTAGTTTTTCACATTTTGTGGTACTCCCTCTTAGTTAAAGTTTTCTCCTATTCTCCACTGTCTACTCATTTACTTTCAATGTATGGATTCTCTTGACATTTTTTTTCCAAGTGTATTCTGGTAGGGTGGGGGGTCGGCTGACTATACTGCTGAGGTTATGTTCTGTGATTGGAAAGGGGTATCTCTCTCCCCAGTTGGCACCATGAGCCTTTGCTTTTGCTCAGCCTTGCCTTTTACAGTAAGTCCTTCCCTGTTGGGTTCACTGATCAGAAGAACACTTCATGAGAAGCCCAAATTTCTGTTGTGTTGCATTTGTGAACTGTTCCTTTAAAAGCTCTTTAGGACACTTTTCTATATTTCAGTAGAAATTCACTGATCAGAAGAACACTTCACAAGAAGCCCGAATTTTCTGTTGTGCTGCATTTGTGAACTGTTCCTTTAAAAGCTTTTTAGGACACTTTTCTATATTTCAGTAGAATAGTAAGTTATCTACTGACACAATAGCTAGGACAGAATATCAAATTTTATGGTAGCATTGATTTCCTCCCCAGCAGTAATTGAATAATATAGACTCAGCAGCAGGACTTGTATCCATCGTACCTTGAATTTGACAAGTATATGGTAGAGGTCCAATAAATTGGAGGAAACCAAGTTTCAAATAAACAATATGAAGTTAAATGGAAAGACCTGCATTTATTTCGTTAGTGTAAAAATGCTGCTGAATACATCTGTCTTCCTTTTCCACCCCTAAACTCCAGTTTAATGGAATAAACCTGCGGAATGCTACAGAGCAACAAGCCAGACTCATCATTGGGCAGCAGTGTGACACCATAACAATTCTAGCACAGTATAATCCACACATGTTCCAGCTGGGCAACCACTCGCGGTCAAGGTAAGATTGACAGTACCTTATACAGGCTGGTCTATGGTCTGTGAACTGATTATTCAATCTCAATACTTCAAATAGGGCATTGCATCAAATAATGGTATGTAGTCTTGCCATCACTTAGAGCGGCTGCTACTTTGTTTTTTTCCTCATCTTTCATCCTCTCGACATTTGACTGTAAATTATTTCCTGTCTCCATGTGCCGTAGCCTCTGGAAGGTGAGAGACAGCTGTAGTTAGGATTTGAGCATTCAAACCATAATTGGAATATCCAAAATTAAGATAGGGTGTCTGAACTGGGCTACAGTGAAATATTTTCCCAAGGAGATCAGTGCAACCGAGAAGGGTAGGACAAGTCCAATCACAACAGACTTTTGACTGAAACCATGGAAAGGAGGTATCAGTAACAGTTAGTTCATACATGTCATGTGAAATGTGCATATGAGAGTCTTGTTCCACATAATATCCTGCAGCAGAGGAGGATATCCTCACTTCCACAGGCAGAAATGATTGGCTAATCAAATGGCACTGTGGCTCCCTTAAGGGAGGGAGGGAGAGAGAGAGAGACCAATCTTGGCTGAACCAGTTTGTTTCTGCCTCCACTTTGCAACTTGCCTCTTCTTCAGTACCTTTACACATGGTTGTTGAAAGCGTGAGGATGGAGCATAAGGGTTGTGAACCAAAAAGTCATAGGGACCATGTTTGCTTTGAGGGACTCTACCTCAGGCATCTATGATTCCTCATTGAAGCTGTTCTTTTTGTTTAATAATTTTTTTCTATAACTATAACATAAACAAAAACATATAACATATAAACTAAAATACAATTTAACTATGTTTCCCACCACCGTATACAGGACCTCTTGCCATAATCTTCCTCTTCTTCCTCCTCCTCCATCTTCCTCCTCTTCTATTGTCCTCTTCCCCAAAACGGCATTGATTCTTGATTTGGGGCTTTCCCTTTTCCTCTTATTAAGACATATTCCAAAAATCTGCCCCATATTTCACAAAAATTGTTTTTTTCAGTTCTCCTTTCCTAACCTTTAAATTACAAGTAAATTTATCATTTATTGCTATGTTCCATACTTCTTTGTACCATTCTTCGATTTGCAGTTCAACTTTTAATTTCCATTGCCTAGCTATAATCAATCTAGCTGCTGTTAATAAATTGGTTATTAATTCTTTAGTCATTTTGTCATATTCCACATTCTCATATACTGATAACAAAGCAATCTCAGCATTAAATTTATATCTTTTTCACATATGTAGCTTAATTCTTTAAAAAATTGTTTCCAAAATCTTTGTACTTTTTCACATTCTCACCACATATGAAAGTGTGTACCAATTTCTTTCTCACATTTCCAACAGACATTCGGATGATTGGCATTAATTTTATTTAATTTTAACAGTGTTAAATACCATCTTGAACTGAGTTTAAATTTTTTTCCCTTATTCTCACTGACATAAATCTTAAAACCGTCATTTTCCATAACCTCCTCCATTCTTCTTCTTCATATTTATTCTTTTTCCAATGTCTTGCTCCCAAATTATTTTCAATCCTTCTTTCTCACTTTCTTCTTCCTCTAAATTAAGAAGTAATTAAGTAATTAAGAAGCTCTCAAAAATATAACGTGCAAAAGGTCAACAAACTCTACCCAGCCACAAGGACAGGGGATCACTACACACAAAATACCAGCTAATGACACCCATCAACCACAGGAACAGATAATCTCTTCTCCTTAGCACAACAATACACCCACAACAATACACACTAATCACCAATCTACAGAAAAAGACAAAAGCCTATCTCACAGCCATAAATACTGCACTCCCAAGCCAACTATACCAGAGCACAGGTTGCTGTCCTCTGAAGATGCCGGCCACAGAGACTGGCGAAACGTTAGGAAGAACAACCTTCAGAACACAGCCAAAGAGCCCGAAAAACCCACAACAACCATTCTGATCCTCCTTAATATATTTTATAATAAACTTGTTCATTCTATTCGCAAGTACAGTGGCGCCTCGCATAGCGAACGCTTCGCTATGCGATGAAACCGCATAACGAAGGGTCCCACGCCATCACTGGAGCGCTCGCTCAGCGATGGCCCCTATGGGCTTTTTTCGCTATGCGATGATCGCGCGGACGCGATCAAAGCATAGCGAACAGCTGATCGGCGGTTCCAAAATGGCCACCGCTAAAACAAAATGGCGACAGTGGCGCCTCGCATAGCGAACGCTTCGCTATGCGATGAAACCGCATAACGAAGGGTCCCACGCCATCACTGGAGCGCTCGCTCAGCGATGGCCCCTATGGGCTTTTTTCGCTATGCGATGATCGCGCGGACGCGATCAAAGCATAGCGAACAGCTGATCGGCGGTTCCAAAATGGCCACCGCTAAAACAAAATGGCGACCGCTGTTTTGCCTCGCTAACGAGGCATCCAAAATGGCCGCCGCAATGGAGGAAACTCGCACAACGGTGAGTTTTAAGTCCATAGGAACGTATTAAATCAGTTTTAATACGTTCCTATGGGCTTTTTTGTTTCACTTAGTGATGGATTCGCTGAGCGAGGGTTAATCCAGAACGGATTAACCTCGCTAAGTGAGGCACCACTGTATTGCATCTTGATTTAATAGTGAAATAGGTCTATATGAAAATTTTTGGGTCTGTTAAATCTTTATTGGGCTTTGGGACAAGAGTTATTAATGAATGTTTCCAAGAATCTGGTGTTCTCTCTCCTTCCAATATTTCATTATAGAACACTTTTAGCTTAGGGATCAATATTGGTTTAAAAATTGTATAATATTCTGATCCTAATGGAAGCTGTTTTGAAGGTGGTGCAGGAGGAAATGCAGGAATCCTCTCTCTGCTTTTGTTGAAACAGTTCTTTCTTTTCTGCAGGACAGAGAGACTGAGACCTAACATTCTCAAGAGATAATTGGCAAACCTATGTCATCACACCCAGATACCCTTCCACCACATAAAATGAATATTTCACATTCCTTTCGTAAGTCCCATGGATGGGAGCATACTCCCTTCTGTTAGCACTGAGTACTGTCTGGGGGAGCTGAAAGAAACAGTTCCAAAAAACTACCTCCAGCCATTACAGCTCTTGGAATACCCCAGCCATTGTGGCTAGTTGCCATGCTAGAGAAGGAATTCTAGGAACTATATCCCACAAAATGACATTTCTCAGTTCTGTGAGGGGGCACAGCATTGGTTTAGATCAGTGTTGCCCAACCTTGGGTAACCCACATGTTCTTGGACTACAATTCCCAGAAGCCCTGCCAACACAACTGGTGGGGGAGGCTTCTGGGAATTACAGCCCAACAACACCTGGGTTACCCAAAGTTAGGAACTACATGGTTTGGATAATAATTTGTTTTGACCCACACCGATGAGAAGGAACTCAGTGGCCTCCACTGCTACTATATGGCTATTTCATTCATTATTTACTTTGGCACCAGCTGCTTTTGCCTATTAAAAGAGAACAGCTACTCCCAGAGTAAGCAAGAGGTGGATTCCAATGGTTTTCAGAGCGGGTACAACCACAGCTTGATCTAAAATTCAGATCCTGGTTTTGTCTGAAATCTCCATAACAGCTGAGCTAACTAAGTATTTGAAGATGTATTTTAGCCACCTTTTAATTTCACAGTCACTACTAATATTAATGCTGCTGTTTTCACATTTAATTTGAGCTCCCGGCTAGAACCTGTGAGCAGCCATTCCACCCCCCAAGGCAGTGGAGCTGCCACGCCTGATAGCCATTCCATAATTGATACTGTGAGCGAACAAGATGAAGGGACCATGACGCCCCCATCCAAGCAGACCACCCCAACTACCAGTCCCTGCAATTCAATGAGGTATGTGGTCTTCCTGTCTTATTTAATGTTAAAAAAAACATCAGTGTTTAAAACAACCTCTCTGTTTTGAACTGGTGATTGCTGGGCCTTTTATTAGCTTAAACATTCTTCTCCCGTATGGTGCTATCCACTTACTTGGACTACAGCTGCCATCATCCCTTAACATTGACCATGCTAGCTGAGTTTACTTGTCCATATCATCTGAAAACTCCATATTGAAGAAAACTGATATAGGGTGACTGTTGGGTGAAAGGAAACACAGAATATAATATTCAGAAAGTCCACTTCTTTAAGTAGCATGGTCTGTGGTATGCCCAAGCAGTTCAGGAGTGAGGGAGGGGCATGATATTGAGGGTATCTAACCTATGAGAAACTCAAAATTCAAATCACTATTGGGAAAGTCTGTTTTTTAATAAGAAATTTACTTGAGATTCAGTAGCTGGAATGAACTTCAGCTCTCTCCTAGAACTGTCACAGAAACATAAACTTGGGAATGTCCAGATCTGAGGGATGTGGGAGTACTGCTGAATGTGGATTAATGTTCAAACTGGCCTCCTTGGGTCTCTTTTTTCCTTGCTGTTGAAAGGAATTCTGTGGACACATCTAAGAAACCACCTGAACCTAGAATGGTTACCCTTAAGAAGTCTCAAGTGGAACTTGGAATCCAAATCTGTGGTGGAAATCTGTATGGAATATTTGTGTCTGACATAGAAGATGACAGCCCTGCCAAAGGACCTGATGGGCTGGTGCTAGGAGATATGATACTTGAGGTAAACTGTGAATGTAAAATAAGACGGGTAGTTGTTTAAACCCATGCACAGTGTGTGGATGCAAAGTGCAGTGGCTGTGTTGCCAGCATCATGGTTTAACATTGTGAGAATAAACCTAGCTCATCCCCATCTCTGGGGCAGCTGCTTCTCTTTTGGATTATTCAGTCCAGAATGGGGAACCTGCAGCACTCTAGGTGTTTTGGATTTCAGCAGTGATATAGGATTGTGCAAGTAACAGTCCAATACATCTGGATAGCCAAAGGTTCTGTAGAGCTGATGTGCTGAAATCTTACACTGTAAATGAGCATTGAAGACATGGCTCTCCTGCCAGGCTTTCCCTGAGTATTAGTTTTTTGAGATCTCGGCCTCCCTTTTACCATCCTTTTTGCCATCCTTTTGATCATCCTTTTTACCACCTTCATTGCCATCTGTTTTAATTTCTCTTGCTGGTTATTATATTGGTTGAATGTATGTATTATTTTTTTATCCTCTTTTGATATTGTACTGTTTATCTTGTTAGTCACCCTTGTTAGTGTGTGTGTGTGTGTGTGTAGTAAATAAATAAATAAATAAATAAATAAATAAATAAATAAATAAATAAATAAATAAATAAATAAATAATATTTTTGACCATCATATCTTGAAACAGAACTATGGTTTTTGATGGCTTGTTTCTAAAAACTGTAGTTAATATTCACTACAATTTCTCTGGGTTTGGACAATCTAGGAGGTTGTAATAATTTGAAAATGAAGATAGGAGCGCCAAGTCTCTTCTTGATAGCAGGGCAAAGACCAGTAAACAGATAGATTTGTTGGGACAATACACTGTAGTTCAGACTTGCATCTGGAAGAGACCAAGTATACACAGAAGAAATGAAAAATTCAGATCTGAGACCCTAGAGTCTTGGTGCACTGCAAATTAGACAATACTGGAACAAAATGGCAAATAATTCTATTTGTTATAACTCAGCTTCCACTGCTCTGGTACTGTTTTATGTGTTATTTCTTTTCTTTTTTTACCTCTATGGTAGGTTCACAGTCTTGGTCCTACTTTACCACATTTCCTGCTGTTTAATTTTCAGAACATCCATACCAGACTTAGGATTTCAAGCATTCATGGTTTCTTTTTCTCCTTCTCCCAGTATGGATCTGTTGATATGCGGAATAAAACAGCTGAGGAAGCTTACCTTGAAATGCTCAAGCCAGGTGAAAATGTCAGAATAAAAGCACAGTACAGAGTAGAAGAATTCAACAGGATCAAAGAGCTGCCTGGAGATGGATTCTATGTCAGGTATTTAAAACGTCATTCGGTAAGCCAGGAGATGTTCTATCAGCCAGTAAGAACTGGTACACGCGGACATAAATAGCCTTTCATCTTTCAGCACTTGGTGATTTGCACCCAAATGTGTGAATGAGCTCCACCAAAAGGATTGTGTGCATTGTGCATTAATCGGCAGTAGCTTGTAGGAAAGTTCATTGCAGCAACTGAAAGCTGCACCTGTGTATTTGCATATGCAAGCTCCCTCGCTGCTGCACTCAGCAAGGGTGAATATCTGCCCACTTTTAAGAGAGCAGCTGAGTGACTAACCAAGGTTAATAATGTCACCAAGTTCAATGAACCAAACTCTCTTTGACAGATCAGTTCACCTCCCTGCATTACCTTAAAGAGGCACATGCTGTGCCTAGGCAGAACTGGAAGTATTGGTCTTGAGGTATCCAAAAATTAATTCCCAGCACAGATACAAATCAGATACATCAGTTCTCAGGTGTTTCATGTAAAATGAGAATAGTGACTCCTATCCCAGAGTCGTGTGAAGAGAAATAAATATATTGGGGGTGGATGTGGGGAGAGGAATTTAAAAATGTTTTGCTAAAAAAGTCTTCATTTTATAAAGATGGTGATTATTATAGGAAATAAGATATTTCCTTTGGCTGAAATCCTGTTTGTGCAGCTGTGCTGCTTAAGGCGGATGATGTCATTGGCCATTATAGTTTTTCAGAAATAAAACACTTCTGATGTTTGGAGTGGGCCAAGATTCTTTAATTGAATTCTTTAATTTCAAAAATTACCATTGGCTCCCCAATGACAAGGAATCCCAAGGGAGTCTTGGGACCTTCTTGGAGAGGAGTGGCAGGGGGAGATCAAGTTTCTGAAAAGCTGCCATGGCTGTTGACATCATCAGCCCTGTGTGACATAAATTGTGTGGATTTCACCCAATGAAGCTGGTGATTTAATGGCTGAAATTCTGTTGGTGCAAATTTGTGCTGCACAAGCCAGATGACATCATCATCTGGTGACAGATATCCTTAATTTGATTGAATCACAAACTTCCTGTCTCTCTATTGAGGTCCTGAGGCTCCCTGGGGATCCCTTTTGCCCTTGGGAAGTCTTTGGGAGCCTCAGGACAGTGGAAGGAGGAAACATTTAATACCAGAAGATTGCCCCAGATCATTGCCAACAGGATTTCAGGTGTGGTATTACAGATGTATTGTAGTAGGTTTAAATGATTGGAATAGTACCTTTCTGACTACAAGATTTTTAAAGGCGATGTTAATAAATGTGTACTGTGTACGTTGAATCAAAGTTATTGGTAGGAACTTATGTGCATTTTAATTATATAATTATGTATATGGTTTCTGAGACCAATGTATATATTTTATATGGGCAAAGCAAGACAGACAGGGGCAAAGAAAAGAGCTGAAGTCAAACTTCTGTCACAAGCCATGATGCAGCATGAACAGTAAGGGCAAATAGTGGGCTTTCATAATTTTGTTTCTTTCATCTTGTCTTGTACTTTTCTCTCACCCACCCTATTGATGGCAGGGGGAAAAATACCCATGGAAGATTATAGGCCCAGCTCTGCCCACCCTCTCCTGAATGGAAGGGATCAAATAGCAAAACAGTCATCCCTTGACAGCCATGTAAACCATTTAGGGGGAGAAGGCAAGATCCTTTTATTTGCCCCAGGCTTAGCACATCCATAGGTTCCTTACTCAGCTGTAGAAATTGACATGCACTATTAAGTCAAATAACTATCTGAGGCTTAAGTACCTACCACCTCAGTCAGAACTTGGAAAAGTGACTTTTCTGGATTACAGCTTCCAAAATCCTCAAAGCAACATGGACCCTGGCTATGCTGGCTGGTGGATTCTGGGAGTTCCTGTGTAAAAAACAAAACAAAAAAAGGCATGTTTCTCAACGTTCATTCTATTGTAGCTCACAAGATGAGATCCCTGCCTCAAATGGAGGAAGATTCCTTGCTTGTTCCCTGGAGTCCTTGATATTCCATTTTTAGTGCTAAAAGTCCCATTTCCCCTCTTTCTTTGCAGGGCACTTTATGACCGACTGGCAGAAGTGGAGCAGGACTTGAGCTTTAAGAAAGACGACATTCTGTATGTCGACAACACTCTGCCACAGGGGAACTTTGGTGGCTGGATGGCATGGCAGCTGGATGAGAATGCCCAGAAGCTGGAAAGAGGGCAGATTCCCAGCAAATACATGTAATTCCATCTTTGAGATATAAGTGACATTTATATCATTTCTAAAAGTGCACAATTACAGAGAAGTATGAACAAAAGCCAAGTGTTTCTGTCTTCAAAGCTTTGTAGCCAATATTGAAGGGGTGTTAAGTTTCCCAGTAAAGTTACTTGAGAGAGGTGGCATGTGTTTAATAACACCCAATTAAAGAAACTATTCCAGCAAGTCATTTTTAGTGCTGTTGATGGTTGCCCATCTGCTAAAAATGGAAAAGCCTTTATTTTCTGATTCAGACACTAGGCTAAGGGCTTCCAATAGTCATGTCGTAGCATTTTTATAGCATCCATGTTTAATTTTGGTCCTAGAGTTGGGATACAAGACTGCACAGCATTCTTGCTTTTAATCCAGTAAATCACTGCTTGCTTTTCATAAAGATCAAGGAGATCAAGTTTAAGAGGCAGAAGTGAGTACTGCTGCCTTAGCTATTAGTCTAGCAAGTAACAGCAAAATGTTCCCCATACCTCGCCTTGTGCCTTTTGGGTTTCTCTCTCCCCTCCTCCATCCTTTCAACATGATGGCTTTATCATCTTGCCTTCCCTGCACTGACACTCTGCAGTGGCTTCTCAGGCTCATTCTTCTATCTTACATCTTGAACTTAGGGACCTCGTAATTCTTAGACTGCTGTGCCTCCTGCTTTTGGAAGGGCTATTCCTTCCAACTGTCACTTGAGAATCCGTATCTGGAGAGCTGCACCCAAACTGAAGAGTCAGTTGAACAAGAGTCTTTCCTCAGGTTTTAATGACATTTTCACAAGCCTTTTATCATTTTCCTGATTACCCAAATGATTTCCTTGTAGGATGGAGCAGGAATTCTATAGGAGGCACAGCATGTCTGAGGCTAAAGAGGAGAACAGCTCTGCAAAGTCATCATCGGCAGCAGCTCGAAGATCATTCTTTAGGAGGAAACATAAACACAAACGCAGCGGGTCCAAAGATGGAAAGGATTTGCTGGCCCTCGATACCATCAGCACAGACTCCATTCCTTTCTTAGATGGCAAGTGATTGCTCTATTCAGTTAGCATGTGACAGCATAGTCTGTATTTGTTTGCACTTTGGGTTTAAAAAGAAAAGAGGGGAGAAGTATGTGGGTGAAGCTCAGTCCACCTCATCCAGTATGTATGTGTAGTACTACTAGACCATTCTAATACCAAAATCTCCATGTTCTGTGTCCCACCCCATGCCACCTCCTTCTTTTGCATACAAATAAGATTATTGTGGTCCATATCCTTCCCCTCGCCTTTGAATACACACACACACACACACACACACACATACACACACACACACACACGCACACACACACACACAGAGAGAGAGAGAGAGAGAGAGAGAGAGAGAGAGAGAGAGAGAGAGAGAAGATAGGCTGGCCAGACCTTCCCCACAAAATTCCTGCTTGCTTTTCTCCAGAGCATTCCTGTTCCTAATCTACAAGGAGCTTCAGGATACAAAGCACTTATCTAGCTGAAGAGATTGCAAAACCACTGTCATATTATATATATTTTTAATCATGGAGGATGTGTGAAGTGCCAAATGGTTGGAGAAGGGCTAATGTCTCTATCTTTAAAAAGGAGGAATTGGGGAACTATAGACCAGTCATCCTGACATCAATCCCAGGGAAAATTCTGGAACAGATGACTCTGTAAGCACCTTGAAAACAAAGCAATAGTAACTAGAAGCCAACATGGATTTGTCAAGAACAAATCTTTCCAGACTAATCTAATCTCATTTTTTGATTGGGTAATCTCCCTAGTAGACGGTGGGAATGTTGTAGATACAATATATGTATCCTGATTTCAGCAAAGCCTTTGACAAAGTGCTGCATAATATTCTGATTAGCAAGCTAACTAGGTATAGGCTGGATAGAACAAGTGCCAAGTGGATATACAGTTACTACAGAACATACTGAGAAAGTGCTTATCAATGGTTCCTTCTCAAACTGGGAAGAGTGGGGTACCGCAAGGTTTAGTCCTGAGTCCAGTGGTCTTCAACATTTATATTAATGATTTGGATGAGGGAGTACAGGAAACATTTGTAACAGCTAATACCTTGGAAGACAGAAACAGAATTCCTAAAGATCTTGATAGGCTTAAGCATTGGCCTGAAAACAACAGAATGAAACTCAACAGGAATAAGTGAAAAGGACTGCACCTCAGAAAAGAAAAAAGAAATCAAATACACAGTTACAAGGTGAGGGATACTTGGCTCGGCCATACCATAAGTGAGAAGGAACTGTTTTAGATCATAAGCTTAATATGAGCCAACAGTGTGATGTCACTACAAAAAAAAGGCAAATGCTGTTTTAGGGTGCATTAACAGACGTATAGTCTCCAAACCCTGTGAGGTACTAGTCCCCCTCTATTTGGCACTGGGTAGACCTCATCTACAGTACTGTATGCAATTCTGGACATCACACTTCAAGTACAATGCCAACATACTGGAGCAAGTTCAGAGGAAGGCAACAAGGGAGATCAGGGGATCGGAAGCCAAGCCCTTTGAGGAAAGACAGGAAGAACTGGGCATGTTTAGCCTTAAGAAAAGGAGACTGAGGGGGAGGTATTATAGCACTTTTGGAATACTTGCAAGGTGGTCATACAGAAGAATAATAGCAGAATCTGTTCCCAATCATCCCAGAGTGCAGGACACATAATAATGGGCTCAAGCTACAAGAAGCCAGATTTAGGCTGAATATGAGGAAAAATGTAAGAGAGCAGTATGACAATAGAACCAATTACCTCAGGAGGTGGTGAGCACTCCAACACTCGAGGCATTCAAGAGAAAATTGGACAACCATCTGTCAAATCTGCTTTGATGTGGATTACTTCATTGAGCAGGGGGTTGGATTTGATGGCCTTATAGGCCCCTTCCAACTGAATTTTTCTATGATTCTAGTTCACATCAGATCTTGCTTCCTGACAGGTATTTGACTGCAGTAGCTGGCAGATTCTGTCAGCCTTTGATCCTCTTAGTCTTGTAGCAAGCTGTGTGATGTCACAATGCATGGTCTTCCAACACAAGTGACATAAGCCAGTGTCATTTTGTTTCCCACACAATAGACATTCATTCATTCATTCATTTATCTATTTATGCATACATAAATATATATACATACTGCACCATCTGGCCTGGGACCACATATTAATTAAAGGACTAGAGCTGAATGTCTGTTCTGCCTAAGTTGCACTACCTTCTCTGTTTTCTCCCTGCAGCCACACAGCTTGAACCATTGTCCATAGCACAGGTTTCTTTAGGGCTGTACTTCAGAATCAGTCTTGCAGGAGCCCATTCCCTCTTTGTGTTTTCTTTTTTTCACCATGTCACATTCTCTGCACTAATATAGCTGACATTTTAGCTATGTTATAGAAATGATGTGATCTTATTCTAGCCTTCCTGACATGCTAGCATTTTCCATAGATACAGTGGTGCCTCGCTTAACGACGATAATCCATTCCAGGAAAATCGCCGTTAAGCCAAAACATCGTTAAACGAAATTTAAAACCCCATTGAAACGCATTGAAACCCATTCAGGGCATTCCAGTGGGGTAAAAACTCACCGTCCAGCGAAGATCCTCCATCCGGCGGCCATTTTCGCTGCCTGTATAGGGAGGAATCCGTCCCTAGACACAGCGGGGAGCCATTTTAAGCACCCGGTGGCCATTTTGAAAACCCGATGATCAGTCTTGTTTTGATCATCGTAATGCAAAGAATTGGTTCCCGAAGCAGGGAACCGATCTTCGCAAAGTGAAAAAAAACCATTTAGACCATCGTTTTGTGATCACAATTGCAATCGCAAAAAGATCATCGTACAGCGATTTCGTCATCATGCGGGGAAATCGTTAAGCGAGGCACCACTGTAATTTGTTGCAGTTAAAAGTGAGGAGGGGTTGAGCTTAGTACTGCCTGCTGTGTAATGTGGTAGAATCCCAGTTGGATTCCATCACGTCTTCTCTTGTAATGGTGAGGTAAGCAAACGTTTCTTGGTTAATGCTGTATTCATTTCCTTGGTTCATTGTCATCACAATCCTTGCTGCTGCTTCTATAAAAGTTGCCTGCAGGTTATACGTCTTGTCTTCACTCACTTTGGGGAGACTTTAATAAAAGGTCCATTGACGCCCTGCATAGTAGACTTGAGTAGAAGAAGTTCTCAGTGGGTTGCCTAAACAAAACCTGTGTCTAGGATCATAGTAAACATTTCGGAAAATGAGAGAATGTTTGGGTTTGAGAAAATATATTAACTTCAAATGTAAATTAAAAATCTTATAAAAAGGCTGGGTAAACCTGGATAATTTCATATTACTTGTTCTAGTAGATACGACAAAAAGAGCTCATCGTTCAACAAAATAATTGATTTGCTTGTATGCCACATGTTCTTTTAAAAATAAGGTAATGTTGTGACCAGTAAAATTGGCAGACTTTAAATGGATGGAAATATGGTGTTGTTGTTTTTTAATTTAAAAAAATTCACGGAAAAGCACAATTTTGTTGTAGATAACAGTTCTGGAATATGAAATGTAAAGTTCCCAGAATAATTCCTAATGATCTGTTTCCATCTCATCTGTTTTGATTAATTTTTAATTCAAATTTTGTACAGGTAGAGACTCTAGATTCATGTTTCAGGTAGCTATCACAAGACCTAGAATGTGCCCCGCAGTCAAGGAAAAGTTATATGTCTAGAACAGCTATAAATTAGATTCTAATTGTAAGTCGCTCTCCCTGTGTTCCCAGATACTGTAAGCCTTGCTTATCAGCGAGTTCAGAAAGTGGAGTGCACCTCTCCTAGGCCCGTGCTTATTCTAGGGCCATTACTTGACGCTGTGAAGGACATGTTAGTCAAGGAGTCTCCAGGAAAATTTTGCAGGTGCCCTCTTGGTAAGTACATCAGTAGTAGAGAGTTCTCTGGTAACAACTGTTACTCATTTTGGGCCATCAGCCTGTTGAACCTTGAGCAGGAAACCCCAGCAGCATAGCAACATGGGATTGTTCTACTTACACCAGCATTTCTGTTGCACAAAGGGTGGATTATTCATGGAGCTTCCCCACTTGTACAATGGCAATATTTAAACAAGTGGCACAATTCTACCCTTTTCACTAGCTGGACTTTCCACTCAGCAGAAACTCAATGGGGTAATGAGCTTTAGGGTTTATTAAAAAAAAGATATAGAAATACAAGGGTTGGTTGCATCTTGTGGGTGACCTAGATAGCTCTGCCCAAGATAGTACTTCAGGAGGCCTGCCTTCCTGTCAATACTTGACTTTATTTTTACTATAATTTTCTTTTTTTCCATCTTGAGCACTACTAACCATTACTAATTACTATTGTTTATAATTGTTTTTAACTTTTAGTTCTTCTGCGTGGTCTTCTGTGAATGCACACAATAAGGGGTTAAGTCAGCGCCTGCGCTGGTCTTCTTGGAATATTCCAGAGCTCTGCAAGAGAAACATTGTCAACATTATCTATACTGCGCGCCACCACATCCCTGAGCTTTAGGGTTTATTAAAAAAAAGATATAGAAATACAAGGGTTGGTTGCATCTTGTGGGTGACCTAGATAGCTCTGCCCAAAATAATACTTCAGGAGGCCTTCCTTCCTGTCAATACTTGACTTTATTTTTACTATAATTTTCTTTTTTTCCATCTTGTTTATAATTGTTTTTAACTTTTAGTTTATAATGTTCAATGGAACCCGCCCGGAGTAGACTTTGTCTAAAAGGGCGGAATAGAAATCTAATAAATAAATAAATAAAAATAAAAAAGTTCTTTAGTCTTTCAAACTGTGACATGTGCCTCCCCAAAAAAGGTGGCACATGCCCTTCCCCCAGCTCTCCCTTCCTTTGCTGAGTTATCTAGTCATGTTTGTCCAGGTTCTCTTTGCTCCTCCTTCTTTTTTGCACTCTGCAACATGGAATTCTCTACCTGATCTCAAGAATATCTCTGTTCTCTTTCTGTATGATGCTTCTAAAATTTCTTACCATCTGATATCCTCTCTCATACACACACAGTTGGTGGGCACAGTCAGCTGGTCAATCTACACCTGCAGCAAAATGAAGTGACAGAATCCCGAGGTGCTGGTGTGGACTGTATCATGAAAGACTGCCAGAGTCTGACGTTCCATTTTTGAATGCTTCCAAGAATGTTTTTAATGTTTTATTGGAAGGAGGCTGCCCAGCACTTCCTGCTGTGTAATTTCTGACTTACATCGAGTTTTAAGATGGAATACAGTGGTGTCCCGCTTGATGGCAACCCTGTTAGATGATGAAATTGCTTTACAATGACAAATGATGTTTCTATGGGGTTTTTATGCTTAACGTTGATTCGGTCCCTACTTTGGGAACCGATTTTTTGCTTCACGACAATCTTTAAAGCTGATCATCGGGTTTTCAAAATGGCTTCCCGCTGTTTCCTGGACCTGTTTCTGGAAGACAGTGATCGAAAATGGCTTCCCCTATGGAGGATCTTCGCAAAATGAGCAGGTATTTCCCCCATTGGAACGCATTAACCGGTTTTTAATGCATTCCAATGGGTTTTTTTAGTTTTGCTTGAAGACGATTTGCTTAACAGCGATTTTAACGGAACGGATTATCATCGTCAAGCGGGGCACCACTGTACTGTAAAACTTTGATACTACCCACCCACCCCTTCAGCTCTAACACTTCATTCTCTTGCAAGTATACACCAGACCTAAGTGGTTGTGAAGATCTGTATTTGATCTTGGTTTTTGTAGCTTGGCGTTTTTAAAAGACATGGCTGTGAGCAGTGCTGATGTACTTTAGGCATTTCATGATTAACGTGAATTACAATGAGGCTTCTACTTGTGATGTATTTTGGTGTAGTTTTAAATAAAAATATTAATTTGAAAACAAGAAAAAAATGCAGGCACAATTACAGTTCTCAACCAACCAAGATACAAGTGAACATAATCTATATTTTTAAAAAAAGACTAGATTAGCACAATCGTGATAATTCCATTCTGTATATAATTTTTGTTTGCTTTCTTTTTCATTCTTTATTCCTTTTGAAATGGTGACTGCCAGTAGTTTTTAACCTCTAGCAAGGATGTAGTTCCACTACTCATCTTGTAGCTCTGTCACGTTTGGAGCCAGCTCAGCAACTGCTCTGACAGCTTCCCAGCTTCCCCCAAGGCTCTGTCTATGATCCTGCATTTCATAAGATGGGAAGGACACTAGCAGGACTGCACCATCACCAAGTACAGACATGCCTCCTGGCTTCCTCCTGTGCCAATTCTGTGTCCCTCTCCCATTTGAGATAACATCTAGCTCACATCATTCCTTTAGCATCTGTGAATATTTTGTGCTATGGGGCATAGATACAATGCAGATATGTATTCCTTGGCAATCCCAATAAACTCTTTAGTGCTGATGTAGCCAAATAATAAATAATAATAATAAGCTTAGAACTGCAGAGCTGGAAGGGACCCTGTGGACCATTAGGTTCAGCCCCTATCTAGGAGGCACAGTGGGAAATTAAAACTCCCAAGTTCTGGCTCCAAAGTCAGATACCTAAACCACTGCGTTGTTACTTAACTGGTTTATACATCAGTACAGATGACAAAATACGCATGCTCATGCGCATAGACAAAGAGAGAGGGAGAAATGTAACCTAAGAGCCTCTGAATAACATGTCTGTACTAAACAAATGTTTCTCCGGATAAAATGGCATAAACCATTCTTTTTGTTCTTAACAGAAGTGATGAAAGCTTCTCAACAAGCCATCGAGCGGGGTGTGAAAGATTGTCTATTCATAGATTATAAACGCAGGAGTGGACATTTTGATGTGACAACTGTTGCCTCAATAAAGGAGATAACAGAGAAGGTGTGTGTTCTTTTAATATACTTGGTAGCTTTATCTTCAGTGGTTTTTCTCAAAAGGAAGAAACGTTCTATTGCAGTTCTTCCACTGGGGACAAGCGGATTTAGTTCTGCCAGCTTTGTCGATGGGAGGCTACCAGGAAACTCTGTGAAAGTTGCTCTGAACTCTGACAGTGCAGGGTAGAAGAGATTCAGCAGTGAAATCAGATCCAGTCTCTTCTTATTTGTGGTTGCCTGATGCATTCAGCTCTTGACTGAAACAGGGCAGTGGCTAAGAAAGTGACCCAGGAAGCAGCAAAGGCTGGTTCCCTGAGGGCAAGTGAGGTGCTGCCCCACCTCAGAGTCAGCCAGCCTGCTCCTTCCTGCCTTAATACCCAGAGGCAGAAAGGAGGGCCCTGGCTCTGTTCTCCTCTAGCTTAACCTCCTTCCTCAACACACTCAGGGTCGGGGTGTGGATGGGGAGAGAATGAGGGAGTTTGCGTGTGAGTCAGTAAGTCAGCTGCCCAGCATCCGGTTCCATGGGCAAAACTAGACATGGCAGGACAGCTGTAAGAGACAGGAAAGGTCTACTTTTTACATACATTCAAAGAACGCATAGCAGAGAGGAGCTGAGGCTTCCTTCCCCATATTAATTTCATGTACTGGCTGCAGAAAGGAGTGATTTGGGGTGTGGGGAATAGAACAGAGGAAGATTTAGCTATTTTTGTGTTAATGCAATTCTTGCTGTTAAATGTACCATATTTTTCTGTGTATAAAATGACACTTTTTCCTAAAATAATTAGAGGAAAAATTGAGGGTCATTTTATACATGGAAGGAAGCAGTCACACGTGCTCGGGCGCCTCTTACTGCCACAACTGTCGCCCAATTGCCTCTTCCAGAGCTCACGGCTTGTCCCCTCCAGTGGCCAAGGCAGCAACAGCAGCAGGAGACAGAGGCGAAGGAGCATTCACACGCGCTGGGGCGCCTCTTGCTGCTGCCTCCCCCCGCCTGCCCGATCACCTCTGCCTTGTCCCCTCTCATGGTGGAGGCAGAGGCGAAGGCAAACAAGCACTCAGGCACCTCTTCCTGCCTTGTTAGCAAAAAGGAAAAGGAGCAACAGCTCCCCTTTTTTTCCTAAACTCCGTGCCTTCTCTAAAGGAGAAGAAAAGCGGCAGTCACTTTGACAGCCACTTTCCTTGCCTTTTGCCAAGGTACGGGGCTTAGCAAAAAGGGAGACCTTTGATCCCTACTTTTTAAAATTTGGGGTTGGAAAAGGGGGGGTCGTCTTATACTTTGGGTCATCTTATACACGGAAAAGTACGGTACATTCTACTCACCTACTGCTTTAGATTTTAATGGAGACAACCATGTAAATAAATTGATATAGTTGTTCCCGTCACTTCTGTCCTGTCCCTAAGAAGCTAAAGTAGAGGACGGAGGTGAATTTGGGAATATCAGGCCAGAACTTTGAGTTTAATCAGGTCTTTAAAGCTACTGGATGAAGGAACGAGAGAGAATATTTCAGGTGGAGGTGTGGAAAATATTATTCTTTGCAGTATTATAGGTGCCATGGGGACTGAAGTAAGAGAGCAAGGAGGAGCATAGGACTGGGGCAGAGGGATAGAGATTTCACAGATACCTTGAAACAGGAGAACCAAGAGGAGAAGAGAAAGCCAGCATCGACAATAGAAATAAGAGACATAACAGAACCATAAAAGTGAGTGAATGCATCAGATAAGAGAAAGGACCACAGTTAAGGACCTGTTTGTGTTCTTAAACAAGGTGGTATTTTGTCAGCCCTTCTTCTGTACCATGAGGCTAAGAATACTGGCCTACTTGAAAGGACATTTTAAGAGCATGCATGAGAAAGAGTTTGAACATTTAGCTAGCCACATGTAATCAGTTCATTCTTAATTATTAGGATTGCCACTGTCTCTTGGATATCGCTCCCCATGCCATCGAACGTCTGCACAGCATTCACATTTACCCGATCGTCATCTTCATTCGTTACAAAAATGCCAAACAGATCAAGTAAGTGTGAGGGGTGGGAGGGTAAGGGATTATGGCCATTGTTGGGATACATGTGTACTCACATTTCCAGCTTTTGGGGGGGGGGATGAATGTAGATGTTGACTTTCTTGGGCAGTTGTATCGATATTGCCAGGTACAGGGGATGTGGACAGTCATCAAAACACCTGCAGACAGCCATGCTGGTTTTTGCCACATATAGTAATACCTGCTGCTGATGGAACATGGCCTTTCCAGTCACAGCAGTTTAGAGGTTCAGCAGTTCCTCATGTGCTTCTATTGCAAGCTGCCTTTACTTGCTGAACAGCAGAGGGTGCACTTCACACAGCTTAGTGTTCCGTTCACAGTGCAGATTCGACTGCAAATTCATTTATGCAGTCTGCCTGGTGTCTCCTGAAAAAATAACCTTCCTATAAGCATTTAAAATGTACATATTTAATATATATTTGTCTTTTACAGAGAACAGAAGGACCCCATTTTCCTGAAAGATAAAGTTACACAGAAACATTCCAAAGAACAATTTGAGACTGCTCAAAAAATAGAACAGGAATATAGCAAGTACTTCACAGGTTTGTATTTAACTACAATTAAAGAAACAAAGACAAATAACAACATACGCCAGGCTCTTTCCTTCCTTATGTTTAGGAAATTGATGAAAACAGAATTATTCAAAGCTGCTTTCAACAACTGATTCTCCCAGATGCTCTTAATTTTAATGTTAATTTTAATTATTCTCTTCTTTTTGCATGGATGTTAGAACTATACTAGATTGTCATACTGTTGAATGTAATTTGTTAGGTGGGGTTTTGTGGGTTTAAGGTTTAACTTTTTTCCTTGACAATCAGAAACATTTAGAGATTGATTTATTGCTTTACTGCCCCACTAGTGTGCAAGCACTACTTTGAGTGCAGTTTAGCACTTAAAACCCCATAAAACCCTATGTAACAAAATATATTCAACAATTTTTTTGGTTTGGTGCAGCATCCAGGAGAATTGGAGCAATTTAAATAAATGTACGTTTCCTGTAGGATAAAGTCAACGACTAGGAAGTAACCACCACTTTGGGAAATGACAGGCTAAGGCCACCTGCTTGAGTATCTTTTGCATTTAGTCATTTACCCTGGAATACAGCCTGCATGCCTTTTTGATTCAAAATTTTCCTGATATGAAAGACAACTGTGCTTAAGGCCAGTCTTTTTCACTCTTACCCATCCTAGTTTCTCTGACTCTTGGAACCCTTTCCTCTCCAGAACAAATTAGAAAACCACAAGAATCTAACAATGGATGGTGGGGAAATTTTTAGCCGTTTCTGCTGGTCTTTGGGATGCTTTTATCCTGCACCAGAACCTACTTGAAATAGATCTAAACATGTTCAATTTTATTTAACCTGTTACTGGTTCCATGGTATTTGTTTTTTCTCTGGTCCTCTTAACTGTGACTGCCAAAATTGTTATTAGCCAGCCATGCTTGTTTTATTAACAAGACCCATAAACGGTCATCCTCCATAGCTTGTTGTAGTATTTGTAGATAGAGGCTTGTTGCTATGGGTGTCGTTTCCATGTCTGCTTGCTTACTAAATTTAGCTTGCTGTTCAATCATGAGGGTTTATTATGCTGTAATAGGGTTCCTTGTAACCATATTTAGATATAATGTGTAGACTTTGTTTCCTAATGCCACTGAAAATAGCTTTCGTAGGGCTTAGTAAGAAACAGTGGTCTTGGAGGATCATAGTTGTAAGTTGTGGCTTTCTGTTCTTGCCATTCATTTTATTGAACTAACTAAAACATCTCAGTGTTGAGTGTTTTTCTGTATCTCTCCTGTCTTGTCTACTGGTACACATTCTCTGACCCCCTATGTACACACACAGAGAGTTCTGTGAGGCTCAAGAAGTGATTTCCCCAATAGGGCCACCTTGAATTCATTGTGGGGAAAATGTTATACAAATCAATTAAATAAATGGGAAATACCTCCCCTCCCTTTTCTTAATTTAGTGGAATTTGGCTTCCTGTGCAGTTGTACAAATACATGTCTTTCCTAACATTCCTGCTGATGGATTGATGTGTATTTTCTTGTTCTCCTTCCTGCAGGAATAGTCCAAGGCGGTCCTCTTTTAACCATTTGCACTCAGATCATGACGACTGTTGATCAAGAACAAAACAAAGTCCTGTGGATTCCAGCTGGACCTCTGTAGACATTCCCTGTGCAACGACTGAAACTCTGCAACAAACTGTGCATAGATAGTTGACGAGGGGCTTTGGCCTATAACCCACATGAAGGGTTTGTCATGAGCAGCATTACCTGTGAGGTGTGCATGGAACACCGTGGCTCTTTCATTGCCAGAATTTTTTTGTGACATAGAAGTGGACATTTCCAGAATTTCTTTTTTTCCCCATAGGAATACTTTATGATGCTGCAAAAGAAAGAGAGAGTGAATGACAGAAACCCTTTAGGATGCGTTTACACCCCCCCCAAGTGTTTGGTGGTTTGTGTTTACTTGAATTTTTCCTTTTTTTACAATCTCTTCTCTCCCCTGTCCCACCCTCCTTCCCACCCTCCTCTGCTTCTAATGCAAAAAACAAACAAAAACAAAACACAATGGAATGGAATTTTTATATACCGAGAGGGAATGACTTTTCCATGAAGTGTGGTTGTGTGTCCTTTGGTGATAGCCATTCTCCTTCAGAATAAATGCATGAATTGTGAATGGTCTTCTCATAGATACATGTTTTTTGAAGTGAATTCAGGGGGAAAGCGGCGATCCTCCGACACAGGGGTCGGGCCACTGTTTGTATTTCATGAATTCTTGATCTTTTAGAAGTTTTTGGCTTCTTTTATGCATGAATTTGGTACTTAAACGTCACCATGTATCCAATCAAACTGCTCACTGTATATTCAAACACAATAATTGTGGGTTACTGAGTCTGCATTAAGCAGGAAGAGTTCAGAGTTGGCCTTGATTGTGTAATGTTATCACGCATAGATGGTCTGTTGTCATTGGAAGCTTATGCTTTCTTCTTTGCTGGAGTGTAATAACCATAGGGATTTTTATTTAATTAGAAGCACAGCCTCAGTTTTAGAGATCTGGAAAGCTCTAGCATTGTCCTGTGACTGTCATTTTGCCACTGTCTACAAATAATAATAGTGTGTGGTGTGTTTGTTTGTTTGTTTCTTAATTTTTTATTATGATTTGTATTTCCTGACTGTACCAAATTCCATTGTAAGTTTTCTTTTTTTGCACTTCGAAAGTCATTTTCCAACCATGTTTTTTATTTTCCCTTCATTAAAAAAATTGCATGTCATGTTTTATAGGTACTGTAACTTTATTGTTAAAGTATCCATTTGAGTAGAGCTGCATTTGTGATTACTGTTCCTAACATTTCATTATCTAGATAGTTATCCTTTTTGTTTTTGCCCTTTAGTTTGTAGTTGTTCCTTTTTATTTACATTAATTAAAAAAGGGATTCTTGCACAGTTGTTCGAAGACAAAATTTGGTTGGAAATTTTAACCTCTGTTTTACAGATACTATTTTATAGTTCAAAATATGGGAGAGAGAGGAAACGCATAGAAAGCCTATTGATAAATTCTTAGTTGAAATACTGTTTATAAGTTGAGGGACAGCAGTTATATATTTTTTTTAAAGAGGGAGGCCTGAGTGGGACTTCAGCGGTACGATTGAAGCAAACTGGTACTGTTGCAACATTAATTTTCTGTACTAAAAATATGTCATTTTGTATTAAAACAAACAAGTTAAAGAAACTGAGTATTGTGTTGAATAAAGGTCAATTTCTATAACTTGTATGGAAGTGTTGCAGGTTACCTGTACAGTCTCTGCCGTTCAGTTTATTGCTGCCATCTGTAAACCATCACAGAGCTAAAGTGCCCAAACACTTATACAACTGAAAGCGAGTCCAAGAAATAACAAACATTTGTGAAAGGTGTCTTGTCAGAACAATTATTTTTCCTCTTCTAGAGAGCAAGAAGGCAGCACCGAATCATGTTTCATTGATATTATTCCTTGTTTTCCTACCATAACAGAACATACATACACAACACGTAACAGCATGTGGCTCAAACGTGGTGAACGGGGGGTGGGTGGTTCTTTAAACTGTCTTTTACCAAGGCCCTCCAGATTGGGTTGCTACATCATTACTGGGGCAGGGGAGGGGGGATGAATTAACAATCAGTCATGCTCAAGAACAAAGCAACACCCAAGGTTGTCCTAGTTTTGTTCCTCTGGCTTGAAATCTTCAGGAGGTATGGATCTAAGCCTTAAGGCTTCTAAGGTATCGTCTTCCTTGAGGTTCAGGCATTATTTAAGTTCCTGAGATCTTTTCCCTGGCTGTTCTTTCTTTTTTTTTTTAAGACTTTGAATTATTGAAAAGGACTTGCTGATGGAAGAATTCTTCAGTATGTGCAGTGAGATTCATACATGGTGCAGCATAGCCATAAAAGTCTGCCTTAGAAGTGTGTAAAGTGTGACTTTCCAGAGGTTGGATTGCAACTCCCAGATTTCTTTACTATTGTCTGTCCTGGCTGGGACCCAGGATTTGCTGACCAACAAGGAACACCACACTTGATGTGTAACTGTTCTTCAGCATGTTCTATGCTGTTTCACATGTCAGGTTCTGCTATCACGATTTATGTCCATGGTGATAATCAATGAGTGGAACTGGAAGAAAAGATGTCACTCCTACTATTTCTAGGCGACCTGGCTATTTCATTCTGTGTGCATTCCCATCTGAGGCTGATCTCATTAAGACAAACCCCATGTCACACAGTGCGCCTTTCCTTCTTCCTCTTTCTGTGACTAGCAATTGCTTACTGTGTAAGCATGAGACCACTAAGCAGCAGACGTCTCAAAATCCTGTACAAGAAAACAGTATTTCTATACCTTACAAGCCCAATGGATGACTTAAACAACGAGTAATGCACAAATAGATTTCCTTTACTTCTGCTTTACCTAGTAACTTAAAATATTACTTTTAAATATTTTTGTACTACCTTGCATTTTAAAATACCCGAGTGGTGCATAAAATGTAATTGTGAAATTTGGAAGGAATATAAATGAACAATATTTAAAAACAAGGCGGCTTAATGTATGTCCACCAGACAAAGATAATAGTTCTATAGCTTTTAAAGCAAGATTCAGTGGATGCCATGGTTCCAGAAAAAATAGATGAAAAGCACATGACACAAATGTTCCTTCTTAAAAATTTCAGATCATTATTACAGTCAGCTTCTAGCCCTTTTAGTTATGCTAGAGAAATGTCTGATGAAATTTCAGAATCCAAGTGAGTTGCCATGTTAAACATTTCTAGTAGTCAGAAAATGGGGCTCCAGTGCCCTATGAAAGTCCTTGTTCCTCCTCATGATTAGCAGATAAATTATTCAAAATGACAATGTAATAATTCATATTTGTTTCATTTATTTATAGAGGCTGCAAAGTTCAGGATGGGGCAGGGAGAGTTAGGGACTTATTACTACAGTTTTGTATAGACATCACACCTTTCTGATTTTAGAAGGGTGGAGAAAATCACCTCACAAAATGTTGCACTCATCCCAGGCAAGAAATACAATTTGAGAAATTTCAGTATGACCCTTCATCATTCCCATTGGATTAAGGGCATACTTTCTAGGAAATCTAGAACTAGCTCGTGTTAATGTCATGTTGCAACTATGAATTCCAGTCCTGCCAGAATAATTTCTAAACTGGATAGAGAAGCCTTGTGATTTTTAACAATAATAAATGCCAGTGTTTGAAGCGGAAGTCCTAAAAGACAGTGTTGTGCCTGCAAGCCATGCATACTGCACAATAGTTCAACCAGTGACCTTTTTATTTGTTGAAGATCACCATGTTTCCATTCCAATAAGAAGCCTTCTTGACATAAGAATTACTAACACACACACCCTGCAGGGCTGCTGAATCTATATTCATTTTGTTGTTGTCCCTGTCCAAGTTCCTCCTATTCAAACCCACACTAAACTGGCCAGGATAAACTGGGATGAAGCCTGATATTTTCACCATCAAGATAAGCAAAAAATTCTGATGTTATGCTTTGGTTTACGTATTGTAAAGTAAGCCATTCTTGAGAGGGCAAACATGTCCAATGTCTGTCCCACACTAAACTGGCCAGGATAAACTGGGATGAAGCCTGATATTTTCACCATCAAGATAAGCAAAAAATTCTGATGTTATGCTTTGGTTTACGTATTGTAAAGTAAGCTTGAGAGGGCAAACATGTCCAATGTCTGTTCTGAAACCTTTAATGGCATTTAGCATGTCCAATGTCACAAAACGGTAATTCATAAAGCCTATTTCTTGGGAGGAAAGTTAACCCTACACATAGAGAAGACACATGACTGAAATAAGGGAGGGCTAGGAACTTTGTCCTTGGCATGTTGATTTTACATACTGGATATAGATATGTATTTAACAAAAATAAAACCAAAATGGAGAAGCCATGTGTGAAAAATGTGAGAATGGAGAAGCCATGTGTAGGCATCCTTCAGTCTCAAGAGACTAAGGTAACGTGCTCTGAATAGAGGTCTTGGAACAGTGTATACTGAGAAGGCCATAATTTGAGAGTGACAATCCTTTTCACACTGAAGACAAATACAAAATGTCCCCTGTCCAGCTCCCTTATTTTTGCTGGTTTCAGGACTGACTGGACAAGTGTCTCTTCAAATTGAAAAACTAAGTACACCCTTCCTGGTTCCTTAGGAATTAAGAGGCTAAGTAGCAGCCAGGTGCTGCTAACCAAGTGCCCTTGAGTAATTGATCATCAGCAAGTATAACCACCTCTATAAGAGCCAAAGTTTTAGCAGTTTGCTGGTCTGGAGCATTGAAATATGTGTTAACACAATGCCAAGGAGGAAACACATCAGCAATGATCGTAGAGAAGCAACTGTTGTGGACCACCAAACTTTTAAAGTCCATCATTCTACAGTGAGGAAGATTATTCACAAGTGAAAAACATTCAAGATAGTTGCTAATCTTCTGAGTAGTGGACATCTAAGCAAATTTACCCCAAGGTCAGACAGTGCAATGCTCAGAGAAACTGCAAAAACCCCAAGAGTTACATCTCAGACTCTACAGACCTCAGTTAGCATGTTAAATGTTAAAGTTCATGACAGTACAATTAGAAAAAGACTGAACAGATATGGTTTGCTTAGAAGGGTTGCCAGCAGAAAGTCTCTTCTCTCTAAAAAGAACTTGGCAGCACGGCCTAGGCTTTATTTTCGTAAAATAAATCATGACACGATGGAATATGTCACGTTTTGTTGTTCATCTGAGGTTATATTTACATAATTTTTAGATCTGCTAAGGATCAGATGATTTTTTATTATGTCTTGATATGTAAAATGATAGAATTCAAAGAGGGCATACGGTACTTTCTTTTTCATATGATACAGCCTCAACAATGTTGTAGTGCGGCTCTTGATTGACTACACCTGAGTTGGAAATCAGCTAGGTAACTTCAGAATCTTCGTTTTTAAATATTAGGATTGTTTAATTATAACACATATGTCCTTCATAGTCTCTATGACTCACACAGATGGGCTTCTTTAGCTATGCAGAGGTTTCTAGAACACTATAATGCTGAGCAATGTAACCCACCTTTGGATGTGCCTCATCTCAAGCCCCTCAGTTCTTTTTCGTCTGCTGCCAGAACAACATCATTTTAGAACGAACGAACGAACGAACGAACGAACGAACACACACACACACACACACACACACACACACACACACACACACACACACACTGAGCTCTTTGTTCAAGTATATTTTCCTCAATCTTTTTCTTATTTTTCATATATGTCCTTATTTCTTCGTATCCATGTGGCATCACACCGTGGCAACAGCCTCTGTGGCTTTATCTACAAAGTGCTTCAACTGTGGAGGGAAAATTGCCCCTATGGATGATTATTCCAAGTGTCTCTTCTGCTTTGATGAACACCATCATCTTCAAGCCTGTTCCATCAGTGACAGATCACCAAGCAGAACTTAAAATTTGGGAGAAGCCTCTGTCCTGCTTTGCATGTTCACATGCAGTTATTCAGTGTGCATTGTGATAATTCTCAAAACTTCTTCCTCATCAGAGACAGGCAAGGTCTAAGCATCCAATACCATTAACACAGCAAGAGAATAAAATCTTGCTTTCTCAAGCCATTTTAAAATCTGCTACAGCAATAACATGCACATTGTCATTTACTTCACAATTTATTGCAGAATACTCTTTTTTATTATTTTTTTTATTTTTATCACCAGAGGCTGTTCTGGCAAATTAAGACCTTGTAGCAGGTTCTTTATTGGCCCTCTCTTGGGATAGTGAAATAGTTATTTCCACCCTCAGCTAAATATATGCAATGCTAAGCTGCTATCCTTGAGGGTTGTCGGTATCATCTGGTGTATGGGTGTGTGTAGTGGGGGAGGAATAAGAGATACTGTCCTCTTTGGGTTAAGAGACACAAAGATCCAGATCAGCTTAGTTTACATTTCAGTCCACCTATACTGTCAGCTTATATATACTGTCCTGCTTTTGTGACTACCTTGCATGGCTTATCAGGATCTTAATAATTAATAACCATCATGTGCCATCAAGTTAATTCAGATTTCTGGCAACCCTTTTCAGGATTTTCCAGGTAGAGAGTACTCAAAAGTGGCTTACCCTTCTCTTCTTCTGGGGGCAGCCTGGGACTGTGCAGTTTGCCCAAGGCCACTCAGGCTACTTGCAGGTGGCGCAAGGAG